ACCATATCCTATTAAGTACGGTTTATCCTCTCAGCAACACCATTATGTTGAGAAGTCTCAATTATAGTGTATTGCACACAAATATTTCAAATCTCAAGAATCTTTACAAATGGACTAGGATATTATCCTCTTTCATTGAACTTACAATAATATTCACCAATCTAGTGAGATCTCACAACTTTTATTTATTTATCTAACTACATTTTCATCTCATCAATGTATATCTTTGGATAGTCCAATGATTGAGTCGTTTCATGTAGTAGATAAATATAACCATAATGTGAGAAATCATTTGTAATGGTGATTCAATATTTTACAAAACCCCATAAAGAGACGTCTAATAGACCACAAGAAAATTAGTAAAAATAAGTTTTAGTGCTTCTCTTGGCAAATCTCTTTAATGTATGTCTAGTTTGCGTTTCTTTAATTCATCCTACACATACATTTTGATCACTAAAATCCAAATGAGAAATGATTTCATTATTCACCATTCTCAAACCTTTTTCGGATATGTGACATAATCTTTAATGCCATAAGAGAGTATAATATTCATTATGTGCACTACGTTTAACCCAAAATTAAATATGAGATACATAAGTAGTTGCACATAACCAAGCCACCAAGTATCATTGGGAATCTTTAATAAATATGATTCACAACATACAAAACTTAATGCATATCTTTCTTTTCGAATCAATATTTTATTTTGGGCAATCTTTTATGAGGTGGCCTAACTTTTTACAGGAGTAACACCTCATTTCTTTAATGATTGGACCTGCAAAAACTTTAAGTAAGTCAATCTTCTTTTATTTGCCTTTGTTTCCCATTTCATCTTACTATTATTGGCTCTTACATGAGATATAAAGTGTATCGACTCTTGTTTCATCTCTTTTATTCTCACCTCTTCCTGCACCAGCATAGCCTTAATTTCCTTATAGTCCCATTTTATCTTTAATGGTGTTATAGTTCACCTAGGATTGGCCAAACTCGACAGGTAGGGAGTTCATGATGAATCAAACCATAAATGAGTCTATCACATTCATTCTCATGTTTGCAAGTTTAGCTTATATGTTGAACATGTTAGACACGATACCATGAATGGAACGGGATTAGTTGAACTTTTATAGTGGTGAGTTCGATCATGAAACTTTCCACAATAGACTTTTTTCCGTAACTTTAAATGAAGATAGTTCCTTGATTTTTTTATTTAGGAATTCTAAATTATTAGCCTTAATGTTATCCGTCACGATTAATTTCATAAAATTCAAACACAACCTATTTGATCGCTCACATACCCTACGAAGAGTTACCTCTACTTCGGAGCTCTCACCAATAATGGTTGTGGGCACTTCATCAGTAATTAGAGTATATTCAAATTCCGTGCACCTAATTGAAAATGTATATGCTCAAACCATTAATTGAAGTTCAGCCCATTGAATTTTTTTTCAATAATAATACTTGACGGAAAAATTAAATTTAAACACTGCAAACTTTGATACATGCTAATTAAGCTTTGAGAGAAAATTAATGGATTCAGAAATCTTTTAAATTATATATTTAAATATACCTTTGGGCAAATACTTAAATATATAATATACTTGATTGATGCCTAAGAGGAAAGATCTTTAACAGAAATTATAGGGTCTTGTGATTAATTAGTGGTTATCTTTGGACAAAACACACTAATTAACCTAACTTTAATTATAATTTCTCTTTCATACGCGCCTAGCACCTAAAACACCTAGGCCAGACTTAGAAATCTATATATATATAATTGCTAGCTCATGAGCATTTAATAAAACCTATTAAATTATACCTATGTGGCAGTATAAATTTTTCCCTCCAACAACCGTTACTTTTTATTTATTTAACCTTTCATTTAACTATTAGATAATCAACACACAAATCACTTCAAAATTACAAAAATCATTTTAACTTTTTGATTTACTTATAGCTGACCATATAGTGTGTTGACTATTTAACGTGATTAGATGTTATTGTTGTGGTTACATTTAAATTAACTTCTTTTAGAAAATAAAAAACGTATTTGAAATTCCTAAATAAATAATAAATAATTTACAAAAAAAGATACATACCAAAATATACATTACATCCAATACGATAACGTAATTTTAAGAAATAAATATTTCAACTCATTTAGTTGTAAATTTGACAAAAATCATTAAGTATTATATGCATACAAATACTCACAATACTTTATTTATATACCTGTGCAAATGCACAAGTCGAATACTAGTTGAGATTAAATACATAATTCTTGATTTATTTTCACTGCATATAAAATAAAAATACATAACTTATAATAATAAAAAAAAAATCGCTAATGATCAAATGTAAGTCATAATTGTCCAAGTTACACTATCAAGGTTTGAAAATTATTCACTTATATACCTATTTGTAATTCAGATTAATAAATCTGCAATAAAGGAACCTAATCTGTAAAGTTATGCCCTTTTGTCAAATATATATCCGTTGAGCTCTTTTGCTCCGCCCCGACCAGAAAATGACCGTTGCCGCTCCTACACCACCGCTATATATCCTCGCTCCGCCGTGCCTCCAAATCTCACCCCAAACCTAAACCCTCTCTCTCTCTCTCTCTCAGAAATCATCGGAATTTCCGAGAAATTATAACAATTATCCGAAAAAGAAATGGGTCTGACGGTAGATAACGGCGGCGACTCGGCCAGCCACACCCACAAGGTGTTCCTCAGGGGCGGAGCCACCCTAAGGCTAGGGTGGGCTCCAGCCCCATGTAATATTTTGCTACCCTTATTTTTGCTAATCTTATTTTCTAAAAAAATTTATACATAGACTCATTAGCCCCATGTAGTTTTTTATATAGGCCCATTTAATTTTTGGGCTGAATGACTCAAGATTATCTTCATGTTAAAATTTGTTATCTGACAACAATGGTGGAAAAATGATGATTATAGTGAGGAAAAAAGATAATCTTTTATTGTCAAATGACAATTGTGACCTTATTAGTTTTTTATCAATTGAGTTTATAATGTGGCCCAACACACTCTTGTCTTTAAATGTTTAATGGGTTGACTTGACAAATATCAAATGAGCTGGATAATTAAGTTTGACATAGACTTTTCCAGCGGGCTATTTAATTCGATTCGTCTCATTCCACAGTCCATTATCCATTTTTATTTTTATTTTTTTTCGCCTCCAATAATTAATTCGACATCATTTCCTAGACAAAGAGAAAACTCGTACAGAGTTGATTGCAAACATGTTCGACTTTATTTGTTTGATCGACAAGTTCGATTAGCTATTTGAGTTTGGCTTGTTTAAATATATAAGAGATTCGAGATTGAGTTTTTCCAATTCAAACCCACATATGTTAGCAGATAATTTGTTTATAATCATAACCAAAACCAGTTACAGGCCGAAACCGTCGATACCGGGCCGAGAGTTGTAGGAGCATGAACCGACGCGAACATATATGAACCGACGAGAACATATGTACGGGTCGGTTCATTGAATTGTCGATTACTGGTCATCCGGTTCATTAAAAAATAAAAAATAATTAGAATAATATTTAAAAAAAATGAACCTCGGGTTCCGGTTCCAGTTCAGAATCAAAACTGCATGTTCAAAATGTATAAATTATAAAGTATTGTACATGAACCGAACTGGTCAAAACCACGGGTTTGTTCAAGACCATGGTCAACGAGTCTGCTTGTGTCGGTTTGGGCCGAACCGACATGCTGGGTCGGCCCATGACCATGTCTACAAGGTTCCAATGACAGCTACAATAATATGCAGCCCCAGGTTAAAAAAATTCCTGGCTACGCCCTTGGTGTTCCTCCTCGCCAACTACGCCCTCATCGGGGCCGCCTCGAGCTGCATTTTTCTCACCCTATCCCTCCGCCTCATCCCCTCCCTCGCCGGCGCCTTCCTCGTCCTCCTCCACGCCGTAACCATCGCCGGCGCCGTCTCTGGCTGCGCCGCCGCCTCTCGCGGCGGCGGATCCAGGTTTTACGGGGCCCACATGGTGGCGACCGTCCTAACCGCCATTTTCCAGGGCTCCGTCTCGGTCCTGATCTTCAGCCGGCCGTCGGATTTCCTTGGACACCTCAAGTCGTACGTCCGGGAGGACGACGCCGTCGTCATACTGAAACTCGCCGGCGGGCTGTGCGCGGTGATTTTCTGCCTGGAGTGGGCGGTGCTGACGCTGGCTTTCTTTTTGAATTATTACGCCTACGTGGAGAGGAGGGGCGATTGTGGGAATACCAATAGTTATGGGTCGAGAAATGGGAAAGTCCAGGATGAGGTTGATCTGAGGACTCTGCCATGGCAATTTCAAGTTTGATGCAAATTATATTGATTCTTTTCTAATCCATTGGAGAAAAGACTGGAAATTTTGTTGGGATTTGTTTGTATTTGTTTGTTTATTTTTTGGGGTTATTTATGAATATTGGAGTGGTTATTTGTTCATTCATCTTTCCCTTTGAATCATGAATAAAAATATGAGTACTTCTTGAATTCTACTCAAAAGATTTTACCTTCTCTGCCAAACACACAGTATGTTTTGTTTGTTCAAAATCCCCGGGCCAGGTCAGGGTATCAAACCCCCGGCCCGGTTTATCTATCTTTGTTTTGATAAACATCTAGGTGATTGATACCCGGGCCAGGTCCGGTATCTATCTTTATCTGCGCATAAATTCACCAAGTTCTGACTATCAGAATCTTGGAATTGTGAGAAGGGAAAGATGAAAAACTTTGTTGCTGTCTTGTGTATGTTCATTTTTTTTAATCTAATTTTATAGTGACTAAAGTTCTTGGCTTCAGATGTCTTTTTAATAAATTCTAAGGTACAGATCACGCAACAGAGATATCTGCTGTTTAAAGGCACACTGCAGAGGCCCGGATCCCTCATCTCCCACCTGAGAGACTGGTGAAGTGGTGATCAGTACACAAAAAATAAATTCAAAAAATAAAAAAAAAAGTGAAAGAAAATTGTTTCAGAAATGTCAAGTTCGAATCCTACCGATGGAGTTGCAGCTGCCAATCTGCCGCACACATTCCAGTATTTGTTAGGTTTGTTGATTTTGCCTTTACCAATCAATATCCGTTTGAGTTGATGATTTTTTTTTTTCATTTTTGTTTTGTTTTTTGTATATGCGTATGATGATGCGTGTGTATAGCTACGCAGTTTCTGTCAAGGGGAATCCCTTTTATCTTCAATTCATGGATTGTCAGACACCTCTCTGAAGAAGATTATGCGGTAAATTGTTTCTTTCACAGCTCAAATTTTATGTTTTTTCACGTATTGGGAATTGGGAAGTGGGAAGGCACTGTAAGTTGACTAAATGATTAAGTGCAATCTTAGAAATTGAGCTGCATTTTGGGTGGATTGCCGGAACAAAGACTCGATCTTGAGTCGTCCAAGAAGATTGTTTTTTTGCTCATTATGCTTGAACAATATAATATTTGAATTCAACTGGATGATTCTTAGAATTGTGTTGAAGAGGTGTATCAGTTTGTGGTAATGATACTTCATTATGTTTGTACATGAAAGGTATGACCATGTTGAATTTTGTTTGAAGTATTGTTTGAGATTGGTTATACATGTTAGGCACTTGGATATTATAGATGGAAGTTTGAGGGACATATGAAGTATTGGTCCAAAGGATTGTCATTTATCACATTTTGAGATCTCACATATTAATAAAAAAAAACAACCTTGATTCAGATTTCTCAAAGTGAAGAATTTATATATTTTGATCTTTTATCATCGGATCAAAACTATTACAAATGTGCCAGTGTCTTCAGTTTCGTAACAGCACTCTTTGACATTTGTTTCTGTGGTTCCTTGTTAGCTGGTGCTACCTAACACTCCATATTTATTGAAATATACAGTTGTATGCGGTACAGTTCCATCTGTTTGTTACCTGTGTATTATTTCTGAGTAGTGAAGGATTCCGGAGAGCGTGCATGAGGGCAGATTTCAGGTCGGAACTCCGGCTTTCGATGTATGATTGATGATGGGCGTGGAACGACGGCTTTAAGCTGCTCTCTACAGACTGCGAACATCGCTCCAGCAGAATACCTGTGTCCCATGCCTTTCTGATGGTGAACCTCCCGTGAATGCTTCAAATATGGTGTTATTATCTTCAATACGTTAATTTTGGTCCTTCCTCTTATTCCTGTGTCAATTACTTGATTGTGTTCAGTACTTTGGATTTAGTTTCTTTCTTGAAGCTGTTAATTTTTCAACGAAGCAATGAACTCAATATGGTGAAAGTATCGTGAAGTTCCCACCTTGTACTTATCATATAATAATTTTATCTTTCTTATGGTAGAACAGATACATGATGCTAATTCCAATTTGTTGAAAAAAGGTGCTTAGAAGCTCATGGACTTGGGTTCTTCATAAAAATTATCGTCCAGAATATGCCTGTGGAAAATATAAGATTGTAAACTGATCCCATCTTTGCCATTTAAAGCCCATTCACATGTTTTTGTACTTTGTACACAAATTGTATTAGCCTTAAAATCTTTTTCTAGGCATTAGCTATCTAGATTATTTGGTTTTTTTGAGTATAATTTGATAGTCGAGATTTCTGCATCTTGCAGTCATAATGGTTTAGCAACAGAAGCAAATGCTGCTAAACTGTTGAAAGTGGCCTGGATGACTTCCCCGTTAGGGATACTGGTGACATTTGCAGCATGTTCGTTTGTGTTCTGGTGGCAAGGCCTAAGTTACTCTAGTCCATACGCAAAAGCTATCTCGATTAATGGTAAGCCACGAACATGATCACAGGCTTTATTTATTTAATTGTCTAAGTTCACTACAAGGGATATTATAGTATCCCAGGACATGAGTGCTGGGTTTGGAAAACATGAAAATCAGTTAATTCCAAAATAAGATGTAGAAATTTAAAAGACTTTCAATGTGTAGTGCTAGCTTAATTGCCAAAGATAGAAAAATTGCAGCATCAAATATTTTGTTCTTTTTAAAGTTCATGTGTTCCGTTTTGGTTGATTTTTAATCATCTGCTGGTGTTTTCATTAGTGTTATACATGTTCTTAATGTAAACATATGGTGTTGTTTCATTTGTTCATTGACTGATGGGAGTTTAATTTAGATTCTATTTCTGAAATAAAAGACTACTGCATAGATGCTATATTTTCGTGCGTCAGTCATTTAACTTGTGATTCACGGGCTTACGATTTAAGTTATGTTCCATAAATGCTTCTTTTAACACTTCTGACTTAATATGTTCACACACATGCTGGCAGAGCCTCTTTATATTTTGTCCCAGAACTTGGTTCTGCTCAGATTGCGTCTTATTGTTGAAGCTGTAGCCACCCTTTTCCGCTGTATTGGAACTTATGTCCTCATCTTGAAGCAACCGAGCCTGGTACAGTCAAACTGTTAGAAGGCTTATATTACTTTAATGATACAGTTGAGCAAGAAAATTGTAATATTTCATCTTACTCGTGTTTATGTTGCTTTACATAGTAACCATAATGGAAATCTCATATGTTATCACGGATAACACTTTTGGGTTGGGATAGTGAGGATGTTTGTTAGTATTGTTAGTTTGTTTTTTTT